CATGAGGGAGTCCAGTGCCCCCAATAACCACGCCACCTGCCAGCCCCAAGATTAAACCATATTTGAAGCCATGGCATTGCCATTGGACTTCTAGAGTGTGATCTAACAAATTAATTTCATTTTAAAAAATGTTTTAACGAGAACTTTTAAAAATACATACTTGAAGCTACAACATTTTTTTTCTCTGGTTATGAAGCATTTTTGATCCTCAAAACCATGAGACATCACAGGCTGGAATTTGGAAATAAACCACATTTGGAAATTTGTATACATAGTCTGTTTTATTTCACAAAGGAATTGATATGGCTCCCAAATATAGACACTGGCCAAGTAAATGAAAAGACAGCAAAAAAAAAAAAAAAAGGTAAGAAAAACAGGGGAGGAAATAAAATAAACAAAAGTGAGACTAATAAAAAGAAAATAAGAGTCACTGTATTCTGTCTAGTCAGTTCCAACCATACTGATAAAAGAGAAACATTAGTTATTCAAGTCAGACTGGTTATAAGACAAAAACTCACTGTCAAGAGAAATAAAACTATTTCTGAAACATGGGGAAAATGGTAATAACTAGTTATTTTGGTTATTATTATTCAGAGTAAGAAATGTGATCTTGTCTGATACCAATGTCCTTTCTAAATGTAAGTGTGGAAGACTTGGTGTGATATCTACCCTGTAGGTAGAGACTAAAAGCTTGGATGTGAGTGTGTAATACTACTTATTTGTCTCAGAAGTCTAAACAATTCAAAAATCAGAACTTTCAGGAGTAGGCTGACCCCATGGCCTGGTAGTTGAGGCAGCCAGATCCTACATGATCAGCCAAGTAGATAAAGTCCTGGCCTTGGAAGCTTGAAAAACACATCAGGTGAATGTGTGTACATGCCAATTCCGATAGAGTGGAGCTGTGAAGGAGAAGGGATTTCAGCTTGGCCACATCTAAGCCCAGCTCTTGAATACTGAGGTTTCACAGAATTACCTACTTCCAATAATAGTAAGAGGGTTCATCCCTAAAAGAAGCACATAAAACTCATGAACCTAATTTTTTACTAACGGACAAACATCCTTCAACTCCTAGTCCACTGACTTTTGTCCTCCTTACTAGCTGGAATGTAAGTTAATTTATTAATATGAACTTTAAGGCAGCATAGAAAGCAATGACCTTACTAGCTCTCTTAAAAATGGAGAAGTTGCTATCACAAACAAATACCATATTTTTTTAAAAAGTATTTTGTCCATAGCCCAATCAAAAGAAAAAATGTTAACAAATTATCAAAAGATAGAAGCCAAATAAAAGTACTTGCCAGTGATAGAGGGTGAAGGTGGAAGAGATGATTCAAAACACTCATGGATATTTACTTTAAATATCTAAATATTATTGGTTAATTTGTACAGTGACCTTACCCACCTGCATTCACAACCTCAAATCCAATATCTTCATTATAAATATTTTCTAAACATTCCACAGGAAAATATGCTGCTTATAAAAACATCTATAATGGAAGATATCCAGGGACTTGTAAAATTCTGAACGATTCTCATTGAACAATGGGGTTAAGATGAAATTACTGGTGAGAATGAAAGAGATTTCTGGCCCCCATATTAAGCTTCTTGGAAAGCTCTTAATATCTTTCATTCTCCCATTATCACCAGAAGAAAAGGTTGCCAATTTTAAAACGTGGCTTTATTTTCCAATTTCATCAAGTTTTGGGGTTTTTTGTTTGTTTTTATGTTTGTTTGTTTTGGATTAAAAAAAATACATATTCCAAATTTGTTCTATGTTCATTCATAAATAGGTAATGAAGATTCAGTTCACTTATGACAACCATCAACCTTGGATGCTGAATAGGATTCTTGAGGTCATAGGGAAACCAGAATTAAGAATTTTATCTGTGTTTATGTCAATGAGGAATTGAAGTCTCAAGGAAGAAAGAATGAGGTAAATCTTGGTAGTCAGGCAAAGAGCAGCTGAGGTGAGCAACAACTGTACTAGCCCTGCTTTGAAAATTATGTGGTTTTTTTTTTTTTGAAGTGCAATTGTATGTTCTTTGTTATATATGTTTATTTTACATTCGATCTATCTTCCTGGTTCTGGACCAAGGGAAGTGAAAGTTGAATGAAACTTCATACACTGCTGACGGGAGTGTACACTTATACAGTCAATTTTGCCAGACTGGCAGTATCAGCTAAAGCTTAACATGTCTATATTGTGTGACCCAGCAGCTTGACTCCTAGGAATGTGTGTGTGTATGTGTATGTGTGTGTGTGTGTGTGTGTGTGTGTGTGTGTGCACGTGCATTCCCTAAAACATGTACATGTGTTCACCAAAAATGTGTACTAAAACACTGATAGCAACACTAGTCAGAAAGTCCAAGTAGAAACTATCCAATGTCTAGCAACAGTAAATCAAAGAAATGGATTTTGGGATATTCACACTATGGAATTCTATATAGCAAAGAATGATCTGAAACCACAGCTAACACTATGGGTGAATTTCACTAACACAATATGAGAGGAAAATGCCAGACACAGGGCCAGGTGGTGATGCAATGGTGATACAGCTGGACCCACATGGGAAATGGTCCTAGGTTCATGTCCTGGGACCTCTCTGAGCATGCCAGGCATACACACATACGTCTGTGATCCAGGTCAACCGACACTAGGGGTAGACTGAGGCGTGGGGATCCTATTCTGTTGAAGTATTTGTCTCCCTGTCTTTCTCTTTCTCTCTCTCTTTCTTTGTCTCTTTTATATTTAAAAAAAATGTCAAATACAAAAGAGTGATACTGAATTATTCCACTTACATGAGGTACCAGAAAGGCAAATCTAATTTAATCTGTTAGAAGTCCATAGTGGTTGGCTCTAGGGAAAGTAGTGACACAAGAGGGCTTTGGTGGGAGGGGGCGGGGCTGCTCATGTCCTATTTCTTGACTTTAGTGTTAGTTATGTGGATATATTCAGCTTGTGAAAATTTCCAAGTGGTACCCTTACGATACAATAATTTTTTTAAAATTTAAATGAATAAAAATGTGAAAACTCTCCACATCCAGTCAATCAATTGGAATAGGTGTTTGGATCAGGATGCAGGGCAAATCATGAGAGGAAACCTTGCCTTTTCTCTTCTCTATGGCTCTAGTGGGACTAGAAAGAAGGGCTCTGTGGTCTCTCAACATGGGAGATTTCTTTTCCTTAAATACACATTTCCACCTCAAAAGTCTAAGAGCTGTTATTTTAAAGGCTTTTAGCCTGATAGTGACTACAATGTGGCCAAACAGAAGACATTGCTGAGATAGCACAGTGGAAACAGCCCAAGCCATTCTCTCAATGCCAGAGTAAATACACTCATCCTGTATCCTGAGTTAGGTTTATCTCAGCTTCCCTGGGTCTTTCCACAGCCTCTCCCCTCACCACCTGGCTCTTCCTTTATTTGTTTTCAAGCAGCAGCTTTTGCCAAGAGTGGAGCTCGGCTGCTCAGCCTGCCATGTTCCATAGGTTAGACTGGCCTTCTCCCAGCGGTCTTCTAAGCCTCAAAGGGATAATACCAAATGCCATGGCCGATTTTCACAGTGAGCTGAGCCCAGATTCCTTAATATAAACAAGCAGCAGGATCAGTCTGTGAAGACTTTTCTTTTCATTCTGATGGCAATGTGACAAGATTTCTCCCTTGTCCTGGCTTCAATAACACTTTCTTTTATAACTTGAGATAAAAGCAGCCCTCTCATTGCAGTGTTTCCTGTGGGTAGACTATAAAACTGTAATGTGACTAAAATTGCAACCACATTTCCATCAAATTCAGAATGTCCATTTCATATGTGAACCTACAGAAACGCTATTAGGAACAAATGAACAATCTGGTCCACCAGTAATTCTTTGTTCTTGGAATAAAACAAGCAGTGATATAATCTTTCCAATGAACAAATAGCAAAACCATTTTTATTTTTGACCCTGTATTGTATTACTTGAGTATTTAATAACAATAGTGGTGATGGTGAGTGCTTTTATGATTATCATTATTTTCAGTGTATTTACATATGTGAACTTCATGTTAATACTTGGAATCACCCTATGAGGTGGAAACTGTTAATATGCTCATTTTACAGATTAAGAATGAGAGGCACAGAGAGATTAAGTAATCCACCTAAAGTCTTAAGAGTATTCTAGAGGTGGATCTAGAACGCAAACTCAAGCAGCCTATTGACTCTCCTTAGAAAGATGGTCTTCCTTATTTTCTCTTAGACAAAATAACAAGATAAGTTTGATTCCCTCAAGCCATTTTGGTGATACAGATATGAGGACTGTTACTATTGGAAGGGTTAAAGGCGTTCCAAGGAACGGCTTACCAATAAGTCAAAAGAATAGAGAGAAAATCATCAACAGTGATTCTCAAAGTAGGTGAATCAAGGCAGGCGATGACGAATCACTAGCAAGGTGATGTTTATGTCATGACCCAGGTCAGGAAGGTGGTCCAGGAAGTGATCACTAAGGCCTGACTAACTGGAACAGCAACCTCCAGCCTACCCTGGAGCAAAGGGAAGAAGGCCTGACATACAATTGTAGGAGCAAGGAATGGCAGAGGACAGAGCTTGGAAATCCAGAGCAAAGCCAGGGAGAGTGGTAATGAGGCAAGTCAGGATGACAGAGGGAGCTCAGAATCACAAAAGTCAGGTCAGGACAGGGCTGCAACCGCAGAGATCTGGCAGCGAAAGCACAGACTTCTGTCATCCAGGCCCAGACCATTGAAATACTTTGCTCTTTTCAGAAAAGTCAGGTGCCTTTCCATCCCATTTTATTGTCATTTGTCAGCATAATCTTAAATTTTGTATATAGGCTTTGGGAGGTGAACTCCATTAATCGTTCTGTTCGCTATCTACAAACCATGTTCTTACTCTCCCTTTTCTGTAAGAGGAAATAATCCCATGTCTTTCCATCTGCTAACATTTTACCTGTGCTTCTAATTTTGCTTGTCTCCTCAAGATCTTTCCAGTATTCCTTTCAACCTCCTATACCTCAGTTTCTTCTTGTCCTTATGTCCCTGCCCTTCTGCCTTCAAATGCACATCAATCTCTGCTGTCCCATACTGATCTTGCATGACCTCATGGTCCTCCATGTTCCTCCCCTAACAGGGCAGAGGAGAGACAAGGAGACTGATATGAAATCGGAAGATCTAGGTTCAACTGCTCACCACAGTTACAACCTGTGTGACACTGGCTAAGTAGCTCATACTTTCTACTCTTGGTCTCTCATCTCCAAGAAGTAGGGAATAAAAGCAGCACAACATGGGGCAATGTGTCCACCCCCAAATCCTGGGGCAAAGCAGAGGTAATTAATTAGTGCTCAGTAATGTTTCATGTACTCCCACATTTCCCAGCCTTCCCCACCATCAGGTTTGGGCAATGGCTTGTGCATGGACATTCCCTGCTGTGCGTTTCCCAGATGAGGTTGTTCAGAGCAGGTGAACCTCCTCCTTTCCACTCTACCTCTATAGCACTTGAGAGACCGATGTTTCAAGCAGTGAAGATGGAAGATGGAGGAAAGCTGCCTGGCCCTTTCATGCATGATGGGAGGAACAAAGACATCTTTACTGGGCTCGGCTACTGAGATGGTGAGGGTAATTTGTAGCTCTGCCTAGCATCATTCTCCTGACTGGGGCCTGGCACAGGGAGGATCTGGAGGAGCCTGCACCAGCATCCTGGGGCTCTTCCATGCTGTTGGCCAACAACCTCAACCAAGTTGCCTCACCTCTCCATTCTCTCTTCTAAGTGGAGGTTTGTATAAGTTCTGGACTTTTAACCCTTTAAAAATAAATAAATGAAATAAAGCCTTTTTTTTCAATGAAATTTGATGTAGAGGTCCAAAACAGAAAATTAAAATATGGTGCTAGCCAGTGGCATAGTAGTTAAGGTGGCTTAACACCACATAGCCAAATGTGTGGTTCAAGGCAGGGATCCAGAGGTTTGAGAAACATGTCAGGTGTGTGTGTGTGTGTGCATGCCCAAAATCTTGAGAATAGAGAAGAGATTATGGTGTGGCTATCTCCCCTAGGGGTGATTTCTCACCACCCCCTGCCTCTGGTGAGTGCAAACACCCTATAGCACATTTGAAAAAAAAGAAAAGGAAAAAATTTAAAAACTATGTAGAAGCTCCAGTAGATTGGCAGGGCAGGGGAAGAGAAAAAATGGCCTCCTCCTTGGGAAAGAGAAAATATGCCCTCCTCATGGTCAACCCCTTCCCTTAGTTGCTGAAAACTGAGGCCAACATAATTTCCTTTATTCTAAATAATACTGAAAACATGCATATTTTCCTTTCCACATCTTAAACAGTTTTGAAGCAGAACAAGAGTAGACTAGCTGTGTGTCCTAGACACCTCTGTTATTGGCGGATGAGGCAGAAGACCATGCAAATAGTTATCAAGGTTAGCAGCTTGTTCATCAAGATATGCCTCAAGTTACTGGCTTTTTGGAGCCCGCCAAATGCAAATCTAAGACATAAAAACCCTTCCCAGTCCCAGCCATTTCCTTCCTTATAAGATCTGCCTAAGATCACACAGCCCAGGCCCTGAAACCATATATATACCTCCCCCAACTTCCCCGTTATGTGATCCTAACACCTCTGCTGAGTTCCTACTGATTGCATGTGCCTCATTAACTTAGCTTGGCTTGATCAGCAGGCATTTCTGGGAGTCTTTGAAGAAGTCAACAATCGATACTCCTGAAACAGCTCCTGATGTGGTTCTGCAGAAATACTGATGTTTTAAAAATCACTGAACTGGACAATCTTTTACATTCTACTTTAAATTCCAGTGCTGATTTCCTTCCAATATATTCTCTTGGTCACCAGTTTCTCTTTCTTTTATTATTTAGGGCCAAATATTGCAGGAAGCTCGTCAGATATAAGCCCTTCCTCTCCTAATTCATCATCTCATCCTGCCCTGAAAAGTGAGATTTTGTATTACCCAGAATGTTCTCCACTTATGATACCAAACTCTGTCAGCATCCCAGAGCCCAGAAACTCAGAAATATGTAGAGTTCTATCTGTACAAACTTGCCAAACTAGGGGAGGGAGGGATGGGGGCTGGAAGAAACCACCAGGAAGCATCTGAAAGAAGATCACATGAGATCACATGGGCCAAAGAACAGAACCAGACACAATCTAGAGCCCTGAGGGAGACAGGCATACAACAGTAGCTTGGACGGCCTTGTCAGATAGGTCAGTGAGAAAGCCCTTGCTTTGTGAAGTTTGTGATCATAGCTAAAGCTTAGCTTGAAGACATCTTAGGAGTAGTTGTCCTCTAAGGAGGGTCCCAGGACCAGCAGCGTCAGCTTCTTCTGGGAACTTGTTAGAAACACAGGTTGAACATCCCCAGTCAGTAAACCCCAAATCCAAAAAGTCCAAAACCTAGTAATATTTGAGCACTGACATGACATCGCAAATGAAAAATTTCCCACTTGACCTCATATAGTGAGTCTCAAAATGGTGCAACTGAAAAATACTGTACAAAATTACCATCGGGTTACCTACCTGTATAAGGTATGTATGAAACATAAGTGAATTTTGCATTTAGACTTGGGTCTCATCCCTAAAATATCCATTATGTGTATACAGTTATTCCAAAATAAAATATAAAAAATATATATACATATACGTATATATGTATATATACACATGTGTGTATATATATATGTGTGTGTGTGTATATATATATATATGTATATATATGTATACATATATATGTGTGTGTATATATATATGTATATATATGTATACATATATATATATGTGTGTGTGTATATATATATGTATATATGTGTATGTATATATATATATATATATCCAAAATCTGAAACACTTCTGGTCCCAAGCATTTTGGATAGCGGATACTCAACCTGTACAAATTCTTGGCCTCCACTCAAGATGTATTGAACCAAAAACTGAAGGGGTGGGATACAACACCCAGTAATCTGTGTTTTATCAAGCTCTCCAGGGATTTCTGATGCATGTTCAAGTTTGAGAACTGCTGTGATCTTCAATAAACATTCTTAACTCTTTTACTTTATAGTTGAAGAAATAGTACAGAGGCCAAGAGAGGCTGGGGTACTTGTTTCAGACCACATAGCTCATTAGTGCCAGGTCAGGCTGAGATTCCAGGCCTCCGGTGTTCCATTCTAGGTCACCTCCCACATGGTTTAGGCAATGGCTGACAGACTTGGGTGTACAGCGTTACCAGTGGTCATGAATAAGGGTCTTAGCAGCAGCGATATGATTAAAACTGCATGTGTGCAGGGGACTAATCTTTGTGCTTTCTTTCATTGCTGAGTTCACAGATTTTAGTCCCCTTGTAGGTTTATGTGAGGAGGCCTGGGGCAGAGGGTTGCAGGTATGGGATCCTAAAGAAATCACTAGCTGATCTTCATCTCTCAGATCAATTCACCACCAAAAACCATTAATGTGTATTTTATATTATAATAAAAATTACTCCTTATGTTTATGGGGTGAACTAACCCTTTTGGAAGACCAAGTCCAGAAATCTCCCCATCAAGATGAGACATTGTCTCAGCATGGGTTTTTGCCAGCTGCTCTTTGTCTCTTTCTGAATCCAGATGAAGCCCCTAGTCTAATCAAGACCCTAGTCAATTCAGATGAGCACCTCCAAGAAGCTCTCAGTAAGAGCCCCCTTTCCTCTATCTTCCCAGTTGTATTGAGACCGTTTTCACTCGTGCTGCTGCTCACTACAGAGGATAGGGTCATGAAGCAGGGAAGCAAGAGAGAGTTGGTCTGGGCACATTGAATCTGAGCTGCTTATGGTCCTTCAAGTCGGACCAGGTCTGGCCTGGGATGACAGACATGTACACGTCCTTGCATTTCCAAGTGAATTCTCAGTTATCCAAGAGAGGATTCAGTTAGGCTTGTGCCTCTTTTTCCTCTCTTCTCCTTGGAGGCATTTCATAGTTTTGCAGCTGCCTTTCTAGAAGGGAATTTATAACTGTGCTTTTCTGACTATGAGCAGTTCTGCTTTGAAGACAGAGCAAAGCAAAGCAAACCAAGCATTAGTCTGACAAACTGTTCTGAGGTCTGTTTCTTAGGTATTTCCATTTCCTAGACCTTCCAAGGGCTTCAGTTACTGTGGACATCTGAGTGTTAGCCCAAATGTACTCAAGGGCCCTTGGCTGTCTCTAAACTCATTCCACTTATTGCCTCACTGGCCTTTCGGTTCCTGGAACATGCTGAGCTGTTTTGCTTGAGGCCTGCATGCATTCTCTTCTCTGGAATACATTTTCTTAGAGTTTGAATTTTGGCTCTGGTTGATTCTTCCATTCTCAGCCTAAAAGTCTTATAGACCATCCTATCATCTCCTTTGTCCTCTGTAGCTTCATCCTGCTAATTAATTCCATTCCGGTATTGGTTTGTGTTTGTTTTTGTTTGTTTGTATATAATGATGTATGTATTGGGTTGTCAAAAAGTCATGATGTATTTTTGCACAGAAAAATACATCATGACTTTTTGGATGACTCATTTTTTTTTACCAGTCTTCTGATGAGGTGGGAGGCCCCAGCATAAAAGGTGTCTACTATGTTCATACTGATACAGGAACACGGCCCCAGCATCCTCAGTGAGACACAGATTCTTGAGATTCAGCTCACAAAGAATTAGAGACACAGACATAGGTAAGCAAGCAGAGTTTATTAAGAGAGAGAAGGTAGAACAGGGCTCTCAAGCAGAAAGTGGGTCCCGAGTGGGTTGCCAATGAGCAATTGAAGTGAGGGATTTTTATCGGAGTCAAAAGGTCTTTTTCCTTGCTTGTTCTCAGGCAGTGCATGTGTTTTCCTCAAGGTGGGGGTCACATACTAGATAGGTCTGGTTATTTTCCTAATTTGGGGGTGAGTACAAAGGTCAGGAAATGGTCTTTGCCTAAAAGCTTTAGGTTATAAAAGACCATTACCTTCTTTCTGAAATGTGGTGGGACCAAGAAAAAAGTCTTTGTCTTAAGTTGATCACTAAGTCACTGCTGGAAGCTGAATCTGTTAGCAAACTGTTCATCAACAGCTGAGCTATTGTGTCTTCATCCCAAAACTTAGCCATTCTGTTACTTTATTTTGGGCCTATAGCCTA